TCCACCTGTGCCTCCAGTTAGACGCCCGGCTGCAGAGGCAAAAGCCTCGCCGTGTATTTCAGGAGACCACCAGCATGCCGGTTCAGCAAGGGACTGCAGTGGACTGGGAGAAGCCCATGGAGTTGGGTGCTGTCAGACCTCGAGTGTCACGGACAGAGATGGACAGACAACGTGCGGAGGGATTGCGTTTTTACTGTGGGGATCTTGGATACTTGGCAGGGAGCTGCCCCAAGAAGAACAGAAGGGTTGCGCGAACTGCAGCCGTCCCTCAGCAACGCACGATCAAGTCGGACAACCAGCACATTGGTGCGGCCGTGTTACCCCATTCGCACAAGATAGCGTGCGTTCGGGGTGTGTGGAGTCCCAGGACGGATGCCCTGCCGAGTAAAGTAAAGAACTCCGACCCTGCGAACTCGCTTCCACCTCAGACTCTTCTACCCGTTGCATCCTGCGCTGCCGTTGGTCATCCCGTGAGCATGCAGTCTGCCGTTTGTTAAGAGCCGTGAAGGGGGGACAGAACACTGTACTAAATCCCAGTGTGGTTCATTAGATCTGGGATTATGATGTTACGGAAAGTCAGCTGTGCGATTTATAAATTTTGCTTTAGTCTCACTATATTTTATAAGTCTAGCCTATTATGCTTTTTTTCCCCAACAAACTGAGTAGGCAAACCATGATCTAAGAAAAAAATAGAGTAATACGCCGGACATATTGCTGGACGTATTTTCACTGCCAATGCCCCGAAATCACTCAACATAGCAATAAAATAATGTTGAATGGCTCACACTGATACTCACAAGCCACATCATCCAAAGCTGTGACAACAAACCAGAGAGCCTTTCTCTCAGTCATTTTGCCCCGCAGAACTGTAATTTTTTCTCTCCAACTGATTCCTGCAACAGCAATTCAAATTAGAGCTCAGCCAAACTGGGATTCAGACAAGTGTACAACCAAGGACTTCCTTGCTGCAAATGGGTAGCATTACCTCTGTGAGTTAGCAAATATTAAAGTTACAATAGTGGTTTCAAAATCTCATGCCAGCCCTTTCCATTTCCTGTGCTCTGGTCAAGATCAAATTTAAAAAGGACCCTGCTGACCTGATGCCTGCCAGATGCCGGCTTAAAAAAAATCAGAAAATTTGTAGGGTATCGTGTTAAAAAACCATGTTCAGTGCTGTATCCACAAGCATATTTGGGTTCCTCTTACCTGTGAAGCTAAGATCTAGTGTCATCAGAGGCTTACAAGGTCGTAATTGCCGATCTGCCCATATGGCATCAATCAAATTGTCTTTGACTGGCACAAGAACATGGCCAGCACATTTCAGAACTTTGTTCATTCTCTTCCACTGGTCTGAAAGAGGCAGAGAGAGACCATCTGTTAGATAATGCATTCCTGATATGCATATACATAATCTCCATGTAACACTGCTGTTGCGCAAGCTGCATTGTTGCCAGTTTTCTTTTGGGCCCAATTCAAGTTATCAGTTATCACCTGTAAAGCCTTCCATGGCATGAGACCAGGCTACCTGAGAAACCATCTCAAACCAATGGATCTGTCCCACCCCACTCGCTCCAGCAGATCGGCATCTTGCCTGGTAACTGTAGCCTGTCATCCATCATCCTAAAGAAAAGTTATTAACACTTTATATAGGACCTGGATTGTTGGGGAAAATATGCGGACTCTGTAAACCACTTACAGAGTGCTGTAAAGCACGTATATATGTCTATGTTCTATTACTATTGCTATATACCACTAGCTGTACACCAAACAAAGTTGATTGGTGAATAGTATATAGGGGCAAGGTGTGAAAATTTAACCCTTTACACTAAGATGGAAACACTGGATCAAACTCACCAGCAGGAATAATAGAAGGATCCACTCCAACTTTGGAACCTTGAGGAAGTACACTTACAAGCCAGTCCTCTTGAGTAGGGGTGTCTTTCAGTCCTAATGAAAAGAAATCCCAAAAGACAAGATTGCAAACATTAAAGCAAGGCCAATTCAAACCAAAATGAACTGGATAGGATAATCACCTTGTTCCCTACATGGAAATCATTGCTTTCTCTTGGATGAATAAAGGCAACCTGAGAAAGTAAAACACAAGCCCTATTTCTGTAACATTCACATGAATTAGGAGTGTCAACATTCTGTTTAAAATAGTATGATGATGAATATTAATTTTACTTTCTTTATTCTCATTCCTGCTTGTAGTTTACTTAGCATGGCAAAACCAGGAATTACACAGTGTCAACTAATAACAAATGCAACTCCTTAACTGAAGAACTTAGGTTTACATAATGTAAAGTAGTGTTTCAAACAAAGCAAGTATTCATGAGATTTATTGGCCTTAAGGCCTTCACTGGTCTTGTAGTATGTCAGAGAATAACTTTAGAAAAAGCAGGTAGAATTAAGTTAAAAATCTAATTTCACTTACATGAATTGCATGTAATGTGTTTTATCCTTAATAATTATTCCCTTTTTTCATATTACAGATTAGAGTTTGATATATATTACAGTTTGATGGCGTGCCAATAGACGTTTCTCAACATAACCCTGTGAGATTCTCCTCAGCTAAAATAATTTTCTGGGTAAGATGAAATAAAACCCTGGTTTGGGTTGACACACACACCCATCTTCATGAGTGTCCAATTGGAATCCATTTGTTGGGATGCCTGAAGGAAATAGCGTCCATCTGTCCACATGGCGGCATATTGCTCTGTTATAATGGCAGTTCCTGTCAGAAAGCAGAGAAGATAGCAGAACTGAAACTACAGAGACAATGGCAGACTTTGCTCTCATTTAGTAAATCCAAGAAAAGTAAATATTAATCAGATTTTAACACTAAAACACCTCAAGCCTAGGTGGAGTTTTGGAGTTCTTTCTGGAAAAAACCTTAAGAAGGAAGAAGATACTTATCTTTGCCTGCTAAGCCAAACCCCTGATGACACCAAGCAAGAATGCCCTGCGGCATTAAAAAAAGAAATAGTTGAAATCATTTTTTTTCTAAACCAATGGAATATTGAGTAGACGAAATAAGAAATGCTGATCCTGTAAAACAAAATTCTTTGGGCCAAGGCAGAAGAAAAGGCTGGAAATAAAAGATAATTAAAAATATCTAAATAGTCATTGGAGATCAAACCATTAAAATATGTCACTTCAGCAAAGTAAGGAAAATGCCAATTGGAGCATTGTGAGAAGCAATTTGCTCTATGATTAAAAGATGGGAATCTATTGGATGATTTGATTTCTTATAATTAGAGGTCCACCAGAGCTATATATACCTGACTTGTTAATTTGTTAATCTTATTTTGCTTAGCAGGCAAACAGGAAGCTATAGAAAAGGTGAGTTGACAATGTTAGCACGGCATGTTAATCAGCGGCACAGCTTGAAACTAAACCCAATTCTTAAGAATACAGTGCAATGCTTGAAGCCACAGGAAATGTTGCTAAATAGAACATGCTGTTCTGATGCAAGGCTTACTCTCTCACACACACATGCACACAAATAGAGAGGGAAAAAGGCAGGGAGAGAGGGAGGCAGGAGAGAGAGACACAGAGACAGAGAGAAAGAATTAGTGTTCAATGCTCAGTGATTTCAGATGCAGAAAATGTTCTTTAGGGAAGCTAAACTTGGCTAACTGATACTGTTTACTGCAAATCCCTGAGTACAAGTATCCTATTTTCATAAGCCTTGGACAGAGAAAAAGGAAAGCTGTAAATACTCTATGAAATAGCTAACAGGATTTTTGTTTTATTGGAGAGTCATCTAAGGGTCAGCAAAAGCTCATTACTACTCTGGTATTACATCACCAGTCCAGCTGGTGTGTATCCTGAAAGAGGAAGCAACAATTCAAACCTTTCAAATCTTTTTCTGTACAGCATGTAAACTGCAAAACCAAACAGTTCTTCAGAAATGAGCTAGTCATTTCTCTCTTGCATACATACAAATGATTATCAATAGTGCTATAATTTCACTTCTCCAACATACACATGGGGAAAGGGGGAAGGAAAGGTCTCTTACTATATCTAAGGCTGCAGTCTGATGTGTATGTACCCATTCTGGATAGACATGGATAGAATTGCACAATCATGAAGAGTCAGAAGGGAATAAACTCCCCATCTTTCACCTTGTTCTTGTCCACAGCCTGTTCATCATTGACCCATGACCTTAACTGGTTACCTATTATATGTGGTCCACAATATGACATCATATTCTTCAAGCAGGAAGTTCATATGTGATATTCAAGAAGGTTTTCTATTGGAAGAAGGCGGGGCTTAGCAGTGAGAAGACGGATTTTCAGGCTATTCCTGAAATTCCCCTATTCCGAAGCATTTGGACGGTCCCTTTTTGGACCNAGGAAGGAAGGAAGGAAGGAAGGAAGGAAGGAAGGAAGGAAGGAAGGAAGGAAGGAAGGAAGGAAGGAAGGACCTACTGGTTACCTTTATTTTAGGTCATGCGCCTACTACCTTATCTGCATCTTGAGAGGACCACATTGACTTCAAATGATGTACCTCCACAGCCTCTGCCGTAACACTATGCAATTTCTAGCAAAAGGGCTGTCGTTTTTACTCCCTTTCCATTTCTTTGGGGTGGGTCACTAAGCCAAACTTCTACATTCTGAAGCATACAGATGATCTCATTTCATTCTATACACATTGCAACCAGGCAGTACATTTGATATTAAAGTAACAAACAATAACACAAACAATGAAGTGAAACAAAAATGAAATTAAGTATTTGTGTCTCTATAAAATAAACCTTGGCAAGCATTATCCAACATCATCTTTATGGCCCATATTTTACCTGTCCCAGGTAGTTATTCTTCTGAAACCCAAATTTCCCAGCCTTGGATAGTGAAATCACTTCTGTGTTCTGTTCTTGCTCTTCATTAACTCAGCAATGCCTGACAAAGCAAAGGGCAAAACTTCAAAGGTAAGCAGACTTTGGCCACAATAACCTCTTTCTTCTCATAATGGATAATTGCAGATAATGACTGTTTCAAAAATAGACTGTAACAGTTCACAATAGCAGAACAGAAGGCAGTGTGACATTGGGAAGGGGAGGGGGAGTAGCCTGGACTTCAGTCTAGATTATTCAGCCAGAAAGCCCAAGCCCAGGTCAAACTCTTAACATATTTTACAGGATTAGATTGTTCAGAACATAATAACCAATGAACTCCAATCAGTTGCCCGAAGCTATAGGCATATACCCCAGCCTTGGATCAACTGTCATAATTCCAACAAACAAATCAGAAGGGTAGCATGCCAAAAGCCTAAAACTCATATAGAAAAAAAGAAAAAATTGAAAGAACATTGTGTATTCTATAAGAAGACACTGTGAGCTATTCACAAGGGGAAAAAAGATACAGAAAAGTAGTTATTCATTAACTTTTGCTCCAGGAACAAGTTAATGCCCTTGATATGCTACCAGTAGGAAGAATTCCATAAAAGGAGTATTTTTTTCAGGGTTTCCACTTGAACCCATGTCTCTCATTACTACTGCTACATGATTCTTTTTCCCCCTATACTACAACCCCTGCTTTCTTTACTGGAGCTCAATCCGTCATCCCCTCCCAAGGAATTTGGCACACCCTACCACCTAATACTTGCAGCCTCCAGGAAGTTTCCTTAATTTGGGCACTTCCTACACAATAATTCCATACTTCTTTGTGAGTGTCCACTTTGCCTCTCCTTGGAATGGGGATAATGAGTATAAAAAGATAAAAAGGCCACCAGTAGTCAAAGGGAAGACAGGATACTGGAGGATACTTGGCATTCCAGACACCATCTTATTTCATCCCTATTTTTATTATTTCCTCGCTCTGCTCATTTTTGTAGTGAAATAAAGTTTTCAGTGAAGCAAAGGGGGGGAAAACCTCCAATTGTTTCTGAAGAAAAAAGTGATAGTGAAGAAAGAAGTGGGAAGAGGCAAATCTAAGAGAGGTAGAGCTGCCACCAATGGAAAACCACTGGATCTCAGAGAAAATGTGACAATAATGGATTTGCAGTGGTGGCTCTGAGGCCAGAATGGGACAATTTGCCAATTCACCATGGCTAACTTGGTGAAGGATAACTCACCATGGGCCAACTTGCAACAGGACAATTTAACAATTTCAATTTAATTATTTGAAACAATAAAAAATATTTTAATTTTTGTCATTCACATTTCATTCTGTCCCTCCTTTTGCATCCTTTCTTTAATGTTTCCCTTCCACCATTTCTTTGATATTAGTTTAACTCTTGTCCTGCAGCGAGCTGTCCAGCAGCAACTTGGCTATGGCAAGTTGGCTGTGGTGAGTTGGCCGTGGAGAGTTGGCCCTGGAGAGTTGGCCATTGCAAATTGTCATAGATTATTCTATGGCAGCACCTAAACAAAAGATAAGCAGCTTAGTTACTGAAGATTTTGTCAAGACAGGCAATATGATTGGAATAGAATAAGGAAGTACCAAACCTAGATATGTGCACCAATTTTGCATGTAAGGTGCTTTAGACTAACATCTGAATTACTATGCAGCTTGAGTTTTAGTTAATTGAGCATAATTCCAACACTGCTTTTCTATATCAAACAGTATATGAAATATAATTAAATCAAGATAACAAGATCATACATTCAGTTAAATCATATGTCAATTAATTGTCTTTTTGATCTGCAAGTTTGTTTCCAAAAACTAATGCTTGAAAGGTAAGATACAAAACAAGAGAATTATTTAAGTCTTCAGAAACTGTCAGTGAAACTTGGCTTGTTATTTCGGCAAAATTTTCTTTAAAATGCCATTAGAAAGATGAACTCTTTGTTATATATGGATAATAATGAAATGAGAGAAATACCAACTGTACTTTTAATGTCATTTTAATGGCAGTGGTGTGTTTAGAAAGACGTGAGCTTCTGATCTGGGCTTATTGGACCCTAGATTTGGTTTGCTGGACTTTNTGGAAGAGATGTACAAAAACTTGTTGTAACCAGCTGATATACTTTTTTATAACATATACTTGTTGTGGTTTTTTTTCTTTCTCTGTTTTGTTTTTTGTTCTTTTTTGTTTTGATTTTTTTTCCCCACTGTTGTGGGTATGTGTTGTTTATGTAACAAAAAAATAAAAAAATTATTAAAAAAGAGAAGGTTTTCTATTTACTTTAATCACTGAATATGGAATTAATACAACATCAAAGACTCTGAAAGAACTTTAAATGGTCAACTAGTATGGGTAGTTCTCTATGACCTGCCAACACTTTATTGTATTAAAAATAAAATAAAAATAACAAAAAATAAACAAACTATCAGAGTTGATGTACAACATAACTTTTTTTTCCCCAGTGAGGACATGGGATTGCCAAATGTTAAAAACAGATGACTGGAATGTTCACTTAATGCATCTGAAGTATCTATATCACTCTACACATAACTAAATACATGTCAATGCCTCAGTGTATACCAGTGGCAGCCTAAATAACATTTATGTATTTTCCGTTGAGTATAGAACAGTTTATCCAGAGAGCATGTAAACCTTTGATTTTCTCTCTTAAAAACTGAAATTAACCCCAAAAGAAATATAAAACATCAGGGATCATATTCATTTTTTAATGCCAAATGATATTTTGGGGACCGTATTTTACAGGTGACTATCTGAACATCTATATATAAAAACAAACAAAGGAAAAGATATTCAAAAGAAAAGAAAAATACAGAAGTTCTCTCTATAATTTAGTGAGAAAAACAAAGGTTCCATTAAGGGCCCCTTTAATTGAAAGAGAGATTTGGCACTGGATGCTACAGAGCTACCAACTTTAATAGACTGGACATAATTCTAGAAACTTACCTGCAGAACCATTAAATCCACAAATGAACTCTCTACGGCAGTCACAGGGTGCAATGTATTCACTCTGACGAAGGTAAAAATAAAAAGCAAAACTAATGATGATCAAAGGGATGCACATAAATTATCCTTGTTTCCTGCTATAATTCTTTCAGTCTTGAAAGATCTTTGCATATTCCTCATCAGATGTCCTTGTATCGTTAAGAATATGGTTGAACAACACCAAAAAGAATACAGTACTTCCATTGGGTAATCCTAGATCTGTCTCCAACTTTCCCTTTCTCTTTCAATGTCAATTAAGTAGCATTACAATTTATCCCTATATGGTAATCAATCTTAACTATGAAACATATTTGTATTATTTTTAAAAAGTTACTTCTACTAACAGTGATTAAGATGTAGAGTTCCCTAGGTTGCTAGTCCTGGGAAACCTTAACTTGCTTTCCCTTGACAATGGATCTGGAGTGGCCAGAGAGTTTATTGCTGTCATGATAACTATAAACCTGATCCAACCTATTGCGTTCTGATTTCCATTGAAAAACTGTTTGTCGAGAAGAAGGCTGTCAAACTCATGACTCACAGGATGGATGCGTCATGCACTGGCCACGCCCACGCCTGGTTTAGCGAAGGGGAAAAAGTCCCAATACATCACATGATGCCGCCATGAGAGCAAGAATTTGACACCCCTGGTCTACAAGAACAATGTAACTGTATGCAGCGAGGAAGATTCTGTAAGATTGTATACCAATCATGTGATACTTGAGATATGTGCATGGAAGCTTCACATTTAAATTTTTATATCAAAAGACTGCCTCACTGAAATTATATCTTGGTAATGATCACAGCACAAATTGCAATTGGGAACTCTGTTCATTGCAGTCTGTTTGGTGAGAATCAATTTTTTCTATTATCTGAATTACTTTAGTGGGGTTTTTTTTTCTGAATGCCATTTCTCAAGCAGAAAACAATACAATACCTGATGAGCATCTCCAGAAGGCACAATATAGGCTTGAATGGGTTCAGAAACATATTTGGAATTTTTCATCACTTGCCGAAGCTGCTTCAGCAGTTCTGTAGTTATTTTCGGAAACATGGTCCTACTAGAAAAACAAGAAGTTAAGAGCACTGCTGATTTTGTACTGAAGATTTAAAATTCCAGAAAATTATCAAGTAGAATTTTTCAATTGAAATCGTTTGAATCTATATTTATAGCCCTTCCCAACTTTGCACAGTACAGATCTGCTGAAATAGCAGCCTATGGAATTACCACTCTTGACCTGCCTTTGAAAAGATTGTGTGTGTGTGCACATGCCTTTGAGTCAATCTTGACTCCAGGTGTCAGCAGTTTTGAAAAGTCCCTGCAGTTTTCCTGGCAAGATTTCAGACGTGGTTTGGCACTGTCTCCTTCTTAGGGCTGAGGGAAGTGACTGGCCCAAAGTTACCTGTCTGGCTTTGTGTCTAAGACAAGATTAGAACTCAGGGTGTCCTAGTATATAGAGTAGTGTCTTAACCACTAAAACAATTTAGTCTCTATGAAAAGACTAGCGGACAAAAGAGAAAGAGAGGTTCTATATATTTGGGTCACAATAGAAAGGTCATCAACCTTTTCTAATCAGTAGAATTCTTTGAATTTTAGCCTTTCACTGAATGCCCAGTCAGAAAAACACTGGAGTGATTGATCATGGACCAAAGCTGGTTGCACAATTACTTCCTTGATAAACTCTCACGGATCTTACGTTAATCATCTTGAATTATTTGATAGAGGATAGCTGAAAGAGGACAGTCTAGAAGAAGCTGTATGTAAGGAAACATTTGGAATTAAAAATCAGCAGATGCTTTGAGACATGAAAGAAGAGCAAGGACACAGAACAGGAAGGAAATAATTCACAAGCTGTTGCTGTTTTCAGTTCATAAGGAAAGTTCTGAGAGCCATCACCTCTTCCACATTACTACATTTCCTTGCCAGGAATAAATAGCAGGCTCTACAATTGTTCAAGAATTGTTTTCCTTAGTAAGGGTAAATACTTGTCTGTTCTGAAAGCTTGAATCTAGCTTTGTTAGCCATATTACGTTACACAATCTCTTCCAAATTCAAGAAAGCATAGATTAGTAGTTAATCTGCTGAACTAGGACCAGGGAGACTTAAGTTTAAATCTGCTTTTAGACACAAGATTTAGCAGGTAACCTTGGGATAGATTCTTAGACTGATTTCTTAAGACTAATGTACCTCAAAAAATTATTGACCCTGTGGCATACACTAGTCCTGGAGCTGTTCAGCAGTTACAATATGGAACATGCAAATAACAGAAGTGAGTATACCCCCTCACATTTTATAAATATTTAAGTATACCTTTTCATGTAAGAAAATTTAAAAAATGACACTTGGCTACAATGCAAAGTAGTGAGTATACAGCTTGTATAACAGTGTAAATGTGCTGCCCCCTCAAAATAACGCAACACACAGCCATTAATGTCTAAACTGCTGGCAACAAAAGTGAGTACACCCCTAAGTGATAATGTCCAAATGGGGCCCAAAGTGTTGCTATTTTGTGTGGCCCCCTTTATTTTCCAGCACTGCCTTAACCTTCTTGGGCATAGAGTTCACTAGAGCTTCACAGATTGCCACTGGAGTCCTCTTCCACTCTTCCATGATGATGTCATGGAGCTGGTGGATTTTAGATACCTGGTGCACCTACAACTTCCGTTTCAGGATGCCCCACAGATGCTCAATAGGGTTTAGATCTGGAGACATGCATGGCCAGTCCATCGCTTTACCTTCAGCTTCTTTAGCAAGGCAGTGGTCATTTTGGAGATGTGTTTGGGGTCGTTATCAAGTTGGAATACTGTCCTGGGGCCCAGTCTCCGAAGAGAGGGGACCATGCTCTGCTTCAGTATGTCATAGTATGTGTTGGCATTCATGGTTCCCTCAATAAACTGTAGCTCCCCAGTGCCGGCAGCACTCATACAGTCCGAGACCATGACATTCCCATCACCATGCTTGACTGTAGGCAAGACACACTTGTCTTTGTACTTCTCACCTGGTTGGCACCACACACACTTGACACCATCTGAACCAAATAATTTTATCTTGGTTTCATCAGACCACAGAACATGGTTCTAGAAATCCATGTCCTTAGTCCTTAGAACACCCTGCTTGTGGGCTTTCTTGTGCATCATCTTTAGAAAGGGCTTCCTTCTGAGACGGCAGCCCTGCAGACCAATTTGATGCCATGTGCGGGGTATGGTCTGGGCACTGACAGGTTGGCCCCCCCACCCTTCAACCTCTGTAGCAATACTTGCAGCACTCATACATCTATTTCCGAAAGCCAAACTCTGGATATGACGCTGAGCATGGACATTCAACTTCTTGTCTAAACTGCTGGCAACAAAAGTGAGTACACCCCTAAGTGATAATGTCCAAATGGGGCCCAAAGTGTCGCTATTTTGTGTGGCCCCCTTTATTTTCAACCTTCAACAGATCACTGATGCTGAAAAATTGTTCCTTAGAAGACTATTTTGATTAATGATCTGGTTTGTCCTCATACAATTCTAGCACATATATTTGGAGGCTCTAACATCAGCTGTGCATTCTCAAATGTCTCCACTTCCTAAATGGCATAGATTTCACTGGACAATCAAGTCAAATGTTTGCTACATTAAATACTATTGACATATTTTAAGATTAACATCTTAGTATCTGAACAATTAATTTGGCAGATGGTTGATACTCCTTCAAAAAGCAGAAGACAGGGAAATCTGACATATACAATGTACTCACACACTAATTGTCTCTGTATAAACTTTTGCAAAGTCACTGTGTTTCACTTACCATAGTACATTAACTAGAAGGCATTTTTCCTAATTCAATAATTTTTTTATCACGTCCAGATAATTCTAAGACAACATTTCTGTCCCTTGGAAAACTATGATGTTATAAAGCATATTTCCAATTGGTGGGACAGTGTTATTCTAATAATGAAAAAAAGAAAGAAACTGCCACAACAAATTAACTCTTCTTCAGACCATTTAAAAGAGATTGTGATCTTCTGGGAAATTATCTTCTAAACAATATTTTTCATTAGCTGGTTCTCCCCAAATGTAGAAGTTTCAATTTCAACATCCAGAATTCCAGGTGTCATCAGCATAGCATCTCAACAGATTTGATAAAGGAAGGTAGAAAAGTCTGAATTAGCATCTTGCATATTTAGGTTTTCCAAAGTCAGTAGCAGCCACCATTAAATCCACTTTTTCCTGCATTCCCTTTCAAGATTCTTTTTTTTTTAAAGTAATCTTTACTGGTTATACAATTTTTTTTAAAGAGTAAAACATACAAATACAAATACAGTTTTAAACATACAACCCCAACCCCCCCGCAGTGACAGTCATTCACAGCCCAACTTTTTTTCCTTCCTCATTGTTTAGTCTCTAAGCTGCATCTTCTCATTACAAAATTCAGGGATCTATTACAATACCCATGTTCACTTTTAGTTCCCATTGTTAACAACTGCTACTTGACTTTCCCNTGAACTGTGAGCCGCCCTGAGTCCCCCCAGGGAAAAGGGCGGCATACAAATAAAGTGAAACTAAACTAAACTAAACTAATCCTTTCGGTAGCACAATTAAAACCAATGAAGAGACCCAAGGCTATGAATGTTTCCTCAGAAATATTGCATATTCAATGTTTTTTTCTGAGGGCACCCACCGTTTATGTTTTACATTGGAAAGATAAGGGCTTACATGACTAATTAATCATTTAAAATTGTACGGGTTTCTGATTTCTCTATTATGAAAAATATGTTGGGAGCTGTAGTGTAGAAGTATGGATTTAAAGTAAATCAAACATGAGGGGGTCATGTTTGTTTGGGATTGAGAAAAAGAAATTTTAATTAATGCTAGAGCAGATAATTTTTTAGTTGTGTTTCAGATGCTAGACTAGAAACCAGATGACTATGAGTTCAACCCCTCCCTAAGGCTTGAAAGCTGGCTGGGTAACTTTAGCCAATCACTCTTTGTCAAACCTGCCCATTTCACAGGGTTATAGTGTGATGTTTATTATTTGTTTCAGGTCCTGTTTTGTTTTGCTTATTTTGTTGTTTATTCGTTCCTTTTAGCTTGAACTATCTGTCTAATTTAGTAGTTTTTAGCTGTTTTTCATATGTTTTCTAGTTTTGTATCCCACCCAGAGTCCACTGGAGTGGGGAAGTTAATAAATTTAATTATATTCATCACACAGTCAGCAAGATATTTAGAGTGGATTTGGTATTTTTATCTACCTATTGAGTAGATAGGTAAATAAAACAAAACAAAACAAAAGACAAATATTGTTTGACTATGTTAAAGGTATTGTCACAGGATGCAAGTTGTTCCTAGAAAGTGTGTAACTGATTATTGCAACACCAGGGGAGAGCAGAGTACAAAGATAAAGAATGGGAAAAGAACCCAAAATATGAAGATCTGACAAATCAAGTTGAAAAATGTCACTTAGAAACTCTGTGCATAGACAAAATTTTCATTTGTCAATTACAAAAGACTAGCTACTTGAATCCACATATATACTAAACTAATATAATATGAAATACTACATTATTTGAAAGAACGTATGAAGGCAAATGCCAGCTAAAAACCTGACTTACATTGTTGTGTATATAATAAATCATATCCCAGATCCTTGGGAAGGACTCGACAGGTGGCTAAAATGCCATATCCAGTCTAAACATCTAGCTGACTGTATAACCATCCATAATAATAGGTAAGTATCCTTTAAAAAGGTAGGATATAATACAAGTAATCCTTGACTTATAACCACAATTGAGACTGGGACTTTTTTTGATAAATAATGCAGTGGTTAAGTGAATCACTTGCCCAATATAATTACCTTTTTTGTTTTGGTCTTTAAACAAATCAAGTAGTCATTAAGTGAATCAAGTTTCCCTTATTGACTTTGCTGGTAAAGTTGTAAATGGGATGCTGCAACCATCGTCAATGCATGTCAATTTCCATTTTGATCATGTAACACAGGGATGCTGTGTCAGTCATAAGTGTGAGAACTGATTGTAAGTCAATTCTTTCAATGTTATTGTAACTTCAAAAGTTAAATAAATGGTTGTAAATCAAGAACTACATACAATATTAATAAGGTTTAAAAACTAATGATATGAAAAAGTCTGGACAGGGATATGGCAATACCTGGAGGCAGCAGAAGAGAAGAGAAAGAACTGAAGAAAATAAAAAACTATGAAGAGCTCAGTGGTGGGTTGCAGGCGGCATGCCCTGGTATGGACGTACTGGTACCTCCTGGGAGCACCGGGTACGGTTCTGGTACGATGCTCCAGAGGGCCCACCCGCCTGCCCTCGTTCCTTACCTGTATTTGAAGGAAACAGGCCATCTGCGCACGTGCATGCAGCGTATGGTGCCTGTGCAGATGGAGCATTGCGGAGCATCGCAGGAGGTAAGGACGCATGCACATGCTGTGTGCATGTGCACGCGCACTGTGCATGCTCATGTGATGGTTGCCGGGCCCCATTGCACCGTACCGGTTGCAACGGGATCCGGAACCCACCACTGGAAGAGCTGCAAATAAAAGTAGAATGACTTTTGCAAAAGAAAGCAAAGATAGTACCAAAAGGAATAGGCGCCTTGAGTGCAATCTCAAAACATCTGAAGCACCACTTGAACACTGGAAAAATCACCATCAGTCAATTGCAAAATTCAGTTTTACTTGGAACAGCTTACATCCTGTTATGATAGCTTTAAACATCATCAAACAACAACATCTGCCTCTCCCAGGTCCTTGGAAAAGACTTGATAGGTGAATAAAAATGCTTAAAAAATGCTAAATCCTAACATCTGTATGAACAACAATAATAATAATAACAACAACCATATATGCATGAGAAATCTTTTACAAAATCTTTCTGGATTTTTCAAAAATAGTGAAATAGTACAATTAATCAGTGCAACTACCTACCTTCAGAAGTTATGCTCCAACACTAGAGGTTTTTAAGACAACCATTTATCTGAAATGGTATAGGGTTTCCTGCTTGACCAGGGTGTTGGACTAGAAGACCTCCAAGGTCCCTTCTAACTCTGCTATTCGATTATTCTGTTATTAGTCTGATAGTATTGCCACCAACATATTTGTTGCTTTTATTTGTTTTTTATGTTTAACAGTGGATTCACTTTCCTAACAACTCAGTAGTGGTTCAAGAACATCTCATTTAACTCTGATTCTACCAAAAATGTCTAAGACTGTTTCAGATAACTTTGTTCATATATTATACCAACCTGCAAACAAGGAATGCCCAAACCTGGGGCCCACAAAGTTTTGCAAAATCTTTGCAAATATTGATATCAAACTGAAGGGAAACGGCTTAGATATATGAATAATTA